GACAGGGGGGATGGGTAAAACGAATCTGGAACGGACAGGGGGGTTGGGTCATATAAACCTGGAACGGACAGGGGGGGTGGGTCAAAAGAATCTAGAATGGACAGGGGGGTTGGGTCAAACAAATCTGGAACGGACAGGGGGGTTGGGTCCAAACAAACCTGGTAACGGACAGGGGGGATGGGTCGAATAATGAATTGGACTGGACAGGGGGTGGTAAAAAAATTCTGGACTGGACAGGGGGTTGGCCAAAAGCTGATTTTAGACCGTCTTCCACCCCCCCTCACAGTTTTTTTTTGGTAACAGCCCAATAGTAGAAACTGGCCGAAATAAAGGGCGCTACCGAGCGGGGGATCAATGTATGCACGACGATCTGCAGGGGCCGCAGCGCAGGATCGTAAAAAATGGCCTAATAGCATACATACTAGTAATAACACCTACATAAGACCTACACGAACCAGCGCCCACCCCAAAATTTCCAGTATGAAATAAAAATACCAAAATTTTATCGATCCTGTCAATAGTAGAAAAATTTGCACTGCTGACAGGAAAAATCCTGTCAGCAGTGCAAATTATTCTACTATTGACAGGACGATCCTGTCAGCAGTGCAATATTTTCTACTATTGACAGGACGATCCTGTCAGCAGTGCAATATTTTCTGCTATTGACAGGACGATCCTGTCAGCAGTGCAATATTTTCTGCTATTGACAGGACGATCCTGTCAGCAGTGCAATATTTTCTGCTATTGACAGGACGATCCTGTCAATAGCCACAGGCTTATTTCATACTTTGTCGTTATCTTTTAGGATTTCTGACCATAGGAATACCCACAGTCAAGCGGGATCAAAACGCCACGTATCTGGTCACTACCCTAGACTCCCTCATCAACCACACGACTGAGGCTGAACGCAAACAAATTGTGATAGTCGTCTTCTTAGCAGACTTCGACAAGGATTACAACAAGAACATTTCCTTAGAAATCTCCCGCAGGTACCCGCAACATCTCAACACAGGCTTCATTCAAGTCATCCAGGCACCGCGGTCTTTTTATCCAACGTTCGAAGAGCTGAAACGTAAGTTCAGAGACAGCCTGGAGCGTATACGATGGCGGTCTAAGCAGTGCGTGGACTACGCATTCCTGTTTCAGTACTGCCGGAACATGTCGGAATATTACCTCCAACTGGAGGATGACGTCATTTCCGCCGAAAACTTCCTGTCGTCAATAAAGACATACCTGGACAGAGTCAGGCTAGACGCGTGGACGGCACTGGAGTTTTCCGAACTCGGTTTTATAGGGAAGTTATTCAAATCTTCAGATCTACAGCGACTGTCTGGCCTCTTTAAGCTTTTCTACCAGGAGCTGCCGGTGGACATTCTGCTACACACGTTTATAAGGATCGTGCAGCCGACCTGGAAGAAGTTCAAACACAAGCCCTCCCTCTTCCAGCACGTCGGGCTGCATTCATCATTACGGGGGAAACGCCAAGAACTGATCGACAAGGAATTCGTGGATTCTAATAACGACACAACAAAAGTACAGCAACCTTCATAGGGTTAAGTTTAAGGATACCCCAACTCTGTTAGAAAAACACAACATTATGCAACAATATGAATGCTGCCCTGAGCAAGAAACTAGATGGTACATATACAAGAATGTTTGTAAACAGCGTATAATGTTTCTTGGAGACAACATCTAACAAACAAACAACTCTATGGCTCTCTCCCGCCCATTTCATCTGTAGTCCGACGACGTAGACTCGCCCTAGCAGGGCATGTTGTTCGTAGTAATGAACCAGCTAGTAGACTAGCACAGTAGCTCCCTACTGGGAGACATAGAGTGGGACGTCCTTATACTGCACTTTTGTCTATGTTAGAGAGAGACTGCTATGAGAGATAGGACATACTGGAGTAACTTTATCAAGTGTACCTCACCGGATTATAAACTAATCCGGAGGCATGATGATGATAATGATGCAACTTTTTTTATTTACTATGTAGAAACAGATGTATAAGTTAAAGTCTGTAACCCTCAGTAATCTTTAACATACACTACTGACATATTGCACTGTGTATCTATCAGCAATGCTTCTCTAGACCTTTTGTCACGAAGTAATTAATTATTTACAAATGTGCTTGTTGGTAAGTTGGGTAAACAAAAAACGGTAACTGATACCAATCATCACGTTCTATTTCAATCACGAAGAAGTATTTTCCAGTGCATTAAAAAAACAAGCCATATCTTTCACCGTTTTACCCATTTTTCATTTTACATGACTTTTGTGTATACATAACCTTGGTAGATATAATCAACAATCAACAACTACTCAGTACGTTATTCTCATGGTAAACAGACCTTATTGAATGAACATGATCAAATCATTAAAAAAACTTCCAGACTACAACAACTAAACATACAAACAAATGGATACCAATTAATCAACCTAGTATATACAAGTATATGAACAAATCAACATTGTAGGTTAGACGTATATCACTTATGCTACTCGTTCTAAGACCTGAACATTATTTGATATATTTACCTATTTGTAAACAAACGGTATGGTTATGTATATAAATATTGTTAAGTTTATTTTACTCGCTTAATATTTAGTTGTCTATATGTTACTGTGAAATACTCACTTGTCTAGTCGTATATTTGTTAACTGTGCAATATTTGTTTCTCTGTTTTTAAACGCTACCATATAATTTAGCTCTACTTATTTAGTTGCGCTGCCACATGCTAGCGATTGTAATCTTCGATCAATCAATAAACAATTATTATATCATTAAATTCGTATGGGTTATCTCCTATACTATAGTCAGAATTTGGTTTAAAAGTGAGTAAATGGGATATCACGCCGTTGTATTAGCTAATGGGATTTAGTTAACAGTAAAAACAGGGACAACACAAACTCAGTGACAAAAAACAATGTTTGAAACACCATGGCATTCGCTGTTATTCACCGTTACCCATTCCCAGGTTGCATAGCGCCAGGGAGTCGGAATTATGTGTCCCTGTGGTGTTGTTTTTCTTTGACATTCGTTCATGACAGAATATGAAATAATAAAGATTTCTCCTTAATATCTATATAGTTTACTATAACATGTGTTGCACTATCTCTAGCTAGCAATAGCTGTATCCCCTAACGGTATAACGTTACTATGTAGAGAATAGTATGTTGTTATTTGTTATATAAACAAAACAACTATGTTGTTTATGTTATAAACAAAACATTCCCTGTTCACCAGAAAAACGCAAGAATGTCATGCTATTTTGTCAGATTAAACCTGTAGTAAGTCTCTTAATTTTAAACAGAAAATGCTCCACCTTCACAAAACACATCCTGAAAAACAAGCAGTCAACAGTTTCACGTATATCGACCCCCTGGTGCTATGAAGCCTGGGAATTTTTACTCCCTTGCATTAAGCATCCTGGGAATGGGAAAATTGCGAACAAAAGAAATTCTATACGCCAAAATGCAGTTACTCAAGCAACTGGATTATGATTTTTGATTTTCCAGTTGCTTAATAAGTAACTGCTAATTATCTGGATGTCTAGCCTTCACCGGCGTATCAAGAAATAGTACATGGTTGTACTGGGAAAACTCTGTAGATATAAAACGTAAACATTTTAAACATTATCTACGTAGGTTTAAGGTCTTTTTGTTGCACCACCGTGTACAAACCTTCTCTGGGCGGCTGGTTGTATGATGGCCGGCAAAATTCTACAAAACGCAGTGTCAAAACTCCAACCCGCCTAGAGGCCTGCACATGAGGCTAGTATTCTGCGAGGTTGGCAACTGTTCGGCTGCGCTAGTGAAATATTTAAAAATGTTAATTAAAAACAATCATGGCCGGGAGATTCCCGGCGAATTTAGGTGTGAATATTGACTCAAATGTGACTCAAATTCGATTCGTATAGAAAGGTATACGTGGACTGAGCCTGGTAAGACTGCTCCCGAACTTCAGAAAACATTGGTTGTTTGGAGGTAGGGTGCAGGTTGTGACAGGCTAGGGGCTTCAAAGGATGACGCGATCTATGATATGATGACCTGTGGTTCGACTGGTCCTGCCTACCTGTCTAAATTCTTAGGCCAGAACTGGCCCCTCGCTCCCGTCTTCATGTCCTTAGCTCTTTGTTCAGCAAACTTGAAGGACCATCCAGTGTCATGGGCTATTTGGTCTCGCCATCTTTTTTTTGGGGGGGGTGACTTCCTCTAGTCCTGGTGGTAGGCCCCGTATACAAAAGAGTTTGGTGGTCTTCTCTGAACGTAACCAAACCACCTCAGCCTTCTTTTACGAATATCCTCAATAACTGTATCCTCCCTTCCCAGCATAGCTCGGATTTCCTCGTTTCTAATGTTCCAAGCTACAAAAGTTCCAAAACAGAGCAGCAAGAATAATACTAGGTTTACCATATAGATCACATGTCAGCTCTGATCATCTATCCAGCCTTGGCTGGAAAGATCTGTCTTCACGTCGTCATATGCATCTCCTACAAACTGTACGAAAGTCGATAAACAACCAGTTGCCAGAGTACCTAGACATCTTTAACCGAACCCTAGAAACCCACAACTACTCCACCCGACACAGTATGAACCAGTCCCTGCGACTTTCTAAAGCTAGGTTGGAATGTGGCAAGAAAACCTTTGCTTATCGAGGTGCAGTGGGCTGGAATAAACTCCCACCCGGTGTTAGAACTGCACCGTCGATACAGACATTCAGAACACTGTATGCTCAAAGTGACCTCTGACTTCCCTCCCTTATTATGACCTGGCATGACCCCGATTACGAGTAATGGATCACGATTATGATTTGTTTTTGGTGTAAATATTGTTGTATTTCCGTGTATATATGTGTCATACCCAGGGCCACTCTGAAAAGCAGTGCTATGACACTGAGTAGTGCCACCCTGGTAAAAGAATACAGAAATAAATAAAATGTGGTCTCTCCTTGAGACATTCAGGATAGCCCGCAGACATCTCATTTCAAATGCCAATAGGAGTTGTTCATCGCTTTTTTTCAACGTCCTTGTCTCACTATTGGGAAAATAGGTCGACTGGCATATGTACCTATTGTACCCAGTCGAACCGGTCCTGTTCGTTTCATAACCCCTGACCTCAAGACAACTCAGAAATTATTCCCTGTGTTTCGGTTGTTTTGGTATCGCGAAGGCTTTCTTGAAATGATTTGAACCCCATTCGATCATTCTACAATCTGAAGAAGGACTGAGAAGCGCAAATCTTCAAGCTGTGAAAGGTTGGTCCGTATTTGGGTACCTGTCTGCTCCTTTTCCTGAGGTGTTGTAGTCACCAAACCTATTTTAGCTGCCGAGTCTCTTTCGTCCTTACATCAAGCCAGATAAAATAGGTTTGGTAACCAGGTCACATTTCCAAGCCGGGGCCTGGCCGGGTTGTTTGCGTGGACGAAAAATAAACAATTTGTATTAAGAGTATGCACAAATAGTGCTCATGGTTAAATTTCTAAAACTTTTTTTGTGTTTTGCTGTCTTATATCATAATTTTCGTTCCATAGGACTGCCCGGCCGGGCCCCGGGTTGGGAAATGTGACCGCGCCATTACCTAATATACATGTAAGGTAAATTCGTAGTCCGAATATTAGTTGTAGACCGTTTAAGTAATGTTTGGTAGCCACACAGAATTTACCACAAAAATTAAGCGATTCGTACACGCATTTAGATACAAATGCCATTTTCGGAAGGCTTGATATCAATTATTGTTTATAATTTGATTATTTTAATGTCTTTTTCTTTAAATGTTTCTACAGAACGTTTTGGGATCTGTATGTTCTAAAAAATGCCATTCGCCTGTGACGTCGGAAAAACAATTTTTTTTCTCAAACTATCCAGTATTTTACTCGTTCCCCATAGTATTTTGTGAGGTGGTCTAACTTGTCTGCTAATGTCTCTGGTTGTCTGAGAATGGAGGGTGGACTATTGTATTATTACTATTCTCGATACCTGGACGGTCTTGTCAAATATTTTATATTGTATAATGTGCTTTTCGAGGGGAGAAATATGTTGCGTATCAATTAAAATTGCCCACTGCAGTTTCATTTTATTTTATTTATTTATTACGATTGACCACATACATAATATACATGGAGGGCATGGTGGAACAGGTGCACCTAAGTGCACCTTTTCAAGGCCACCATGCCTAGGGTTTTAAAAACAGATTTTTCAGTCAACATTCTAGTCACATACGTGCACACTGAGTTGAAACAACACTATCCCAATATATATCAATATTCATAGAGCAAAATGCCAGTCAACGGCTACTGGTCGCAGACCGGGCTGATTTTTGAGGGTACCACTCAGAAAATAAAGGACTCGTCTTTTTTTCTGTGTTGTTTAAACGTACAAAGTATGAAATACTGATGCCAATGTGCTAATGTGTGGGCATCTGTATCTGTATCGATATATCAGGTATAACAGCCCTTCGGCGTAACACACCAGCTTCGCAGGCACGCGGCGCGGTGGAAGCACGTGTATCATACCGAACGACTTGTCACACTCAATCTTTGCACATTTGATTGCAGGAGTTGTTTAAAGCTTTCTAGTGATAATGCCCCAACTGTGCTGGGTGGCAACGAGTTCCAGTCTACGATAGTTCTGGGGAAATACGAGTTTTTGAATACCTCAATTCTTGGTTGATGACTCTGATGGGCAGTATGTGTTGATTTCAGACAGATCTCCTTATACATTTTTACCGCCCCGATATTGCATAGGATGGCTTCGATTTTTAATAATTAATATTTCTCCGAATGATAACAACAAGACTGGCAATGAAAACATACATTGCCATGGCGACGATGGTTTCTGTTAGAGTTATTTCATAATTGAGGAAGAGGAAGACTTGGTACCTGTAAAGTCTACACAGATACAGCGCACTCCTCCCCTGAGTGTATAGTGAACGAGCCCCGGGGTCACAGAAAGTAGGGCCATCCGGAGCGGAGATGTCTTCCCAAGGGTTTCATGTTTCCATGAATGTGGGCATAGATGCGGTTCAGAGACATGCCTGTGGACATTCCATGCCTGTGGATAAACAAAATGCCTGTGCCATTCCTAGAATTCTTGCAAACTGTACACAATACTGTACCATTAGGCTCCTCCCTGAGACGTCGCCAAAAAACAGAGAGGTGCAACCACCACAAAAGATGGTCCTGAGGTCGGGCTGGACGCTGTGGCAGCTGAGAAATGTCATCCTGGGAACGCTGGTGATGTTCGTGCTTCTTAACGCCTGGATTATGACCAGTAAGATTTTTTTCACCTAGAATATGATTAGATTTGATATCGGAGTTGCTTGTTCTTTAAGGGACTTCGACAGAAGGATGCTTCTGATCACGGAAAATGTTACATTGTCCACGTGTTTGGTTTTATTAGCTGTCAAGTGGAATTCACATAGATTGGCAATTCGTCATCATTCCTTGAGAGACATGTATATAAAAGTACAATGCATATTAAAGTAATGTGTTTTTGTGGTGTGTGTATGCTGTGTGTATGTGTGTGTGTGTGTGTGTGTGTGTGTGGTGTGTGTTGTGCGTGTGTGTGTGTGCGTCTGTGTGTTTGTGGTGTGTGTGTGTGTGTTTATGTGTTTGTGTGTTTGTGGTGTGTGTTTGTGTGTTTGTGGTGTGTATGTGTGAGTGGTGAGTGGTGAGTGTGTGTGTGTGTATGTGTGTGTGTGTGTGTGTGTGTGTGTGTGTGTGTGTGTGTGTTTGTGTTGTGTGTGTGTGTGTATGTGTGTGTGTCTGTGTGCGCGTGGTGTGTGCGCGTGTTTGTCTGTGTGTTTGTATGTGTGTGTGTGTGCGCGCGCGCGTGTGTGTGCGTGTATGCATTGATGCATTGTCAGGGGCGTTGTATTTTTGGCCAATCTACATGAGAGTACTGTACGGTAGCATCCAGCAGTAGACTAACCCTAACCCCAGTCTGGCATGTTGTCTGTTCCCAGTTACTTTGCAGGAGCAGACAAAACAACAAACGGACTCGTCATGTGAAGAACAGAGAGACGCGCTGATAGATACAATCAAAACATTCAACAAGATACTAAGAAGACGAGACAACACTGGAGAGGAAGTCAGCAAACCACTGGTGAAAGCTAGACATGAGGTTAGTTCACAGACATGCCCAGCCCATATAAGACACCAAAACATAAACATGAACATAAACATAGGACATCCTTTATTTCAACTAAATATGGAGTCTAATTTTAGTTCACATTTTTATATAAGTGGTGGTCGTTTGCGGACCCAACTTGGGGTGGTCGCGGTCACAGAAGACAAGTGGTCGTCTTGGACACAATGCTTAGTGCTTGGAGAAAAATCGGGACCGACTGAAAACGGTCGTTGTAAACCGATGGTCGTTTTATGGATGTGGTCGCTGTGCCAAGTTTGACTGTATTTTTTTTTGGGGGGGGGGTAAGGTTTGATGTACAAATGTGGTAGACTTTGAAAGACGAAATGAACCCAGATCTCCTACAGCATCTCCTACAAACTGTACAAAAGTCGATAAACAACCAGTTGCCTGAGTACCTAGACATCTTTAACCGAACCCTAGAAACCCACAACTACTCCACCCGACACAGTATGAACCAGTCCCTGCGACTTCCTAAAGCTAGATTGGAATGCGGCAAGAGAACGTTTGCTTATCGAGGTGCAGTGGGCTGGAATAAACTCCCACTCGGTGTTAGAACTGCACCGTCGATACAGACGTTCAGAACACTGTATGCTCAGTTACGTGACCTCTGACTACCCTCCATTATGACCTGGCATGACCCCGATTACGAGTAATCACGTTTATGATATTGTTTTTGGTGTATATATTGTTGTATTTCCATGTATATATGTGTCGTACCCAGGGCCACTCTATAAAGCAGTGCTATGTCACTGAGTAGTGCCCCCTTGGAATACAGAAATAAATAAATAAATTTGAATAACGTTACGCTTCAATTATTCACCTACCTGATGCAATTAAAAACGGAGATATTCGAATTGTTTTCCAGGATAAATCAATAGTCTGTGAAGACTGTAGCAGATCTGGTCTCGTCGATACAGAAGCTGCCAGAGTTTTAGGGAAACCACGCAAGACAAAGGGTAGGTTACTGGAACATCAAACTTCTAGAATGCCGTCTGAATGGAAATCATTTGTATATTTATAACTTCACCACATATTGTTTTTGCTCGTGTTTCTTCTCCTCCTTCTCCTGCCATTTCTTTGAATTGATTCAACTCCTTTATTTTTGGGGCCCCCAAATACCCCCAGGCGTTTTTTTTTCATTTCTGTGATTCAGGCTTTTAGAATGGTTTTATTTGAGCTTTATTTGGGCATGAGTCATTAGAATGGCATATAGAGCAGGCAACCAATAGGCATGCAGCTTTCCTATATTCTCCTTGCTGATTGGCTGTTCGGATATGATTGGGTTAACTCAATTAACACTTGTACAAAGCCATGTATGAACTTTATTCAAGTGTTTTGTTAGGTATGTCAAGCTTCCCTGCTCCAGCATTGGAATGCGGGACATAAACCCTTCTTTTTATCTTGAAAAGTTTGCATTACGCAATTAATAATCCCCACCAATAATGTAAGGGACATCTATCCAACTGTTGTCAATTCATATTATAGTTATATCAATGTAAATAATTGTTTTCCCTTGTATTTCTCCTTCTTTCCTTGCCATGTCGTGAAATGTGGTGAAGTCATGCTGAATTTGCTCCAAAGCAAATGTTGGCCTTTCTAGTCTTGAATATATTATCTCTACGTTCAAAATAAACACGTGCGCTCATTCTTGAGTTGTGTCAGGCCCGAATGTTATGAGCATGCTGAGGACTTTCGAGGTGGATTCAAATTGTAAAAATATGGAAGGGAATTCGAAGTGTATTCTGACTGCATCCTGAATATTCCAGGACCTTTAGTGTTCGAATCACTCTGGTGACATACGAATGAGGACTGAAATGGGCTTTAGTATTTGGAATACACCCCGAATCTTTAAGAATAGCCAAGGATATAAAAGAAGTTTTCATTCTGTCTGATTCTGCTTGACCGATTCGGAATAACTGTGAAGGGAACATAAGATTTCGTTGTATTCGTTGAATATTTTGAATAATCTTTAATATTGCATTTTTTCTTTCATATCAATATTTCTTGCACTGTTATGACATATTCCGATACGGGTATAACGAAGTGTGAATATGGCGAGTAATAGACCATGGGAGTTTCGCCTACTCTCCAAGCAGAGGTTGATGGTGGAAGGTCGTTTGCTTTTTATGTATGGCCCGTTGGTCGCGACAAAAAAACGGGCCATACATAAAAAAAACGATCTTCCACCATCAACCTCTGCTTGGAGAGTAAGTTTGACCACCGTAAAGTTCCTTTACTTGTTATTAACTTTACCGTGGAAAAACTCTTTTGGTCAATTATTCTACCTTTATTCACCGAATTCTACGATCCGTACCCTCCTAGGTAGACCTGGTGGAGGCTAGTTTTTGTTTGCTTTCATATGAAAATTTGTGTCTTTTTTTTCAGGATTTTTAACCATCGGCATCTCAACGGTGAAAAGAGACCAGAATAGCCAGTACCTCGGCATCACAATCAACTCACTCATCGAGCACACTACAGAAGCCGAGCGGGAGCAAGTCACTGTCGTCATTTTCCTAGCGGACTTCGACAGCTATCACAACAAGAAACTGTCTGTAGAAATTTCCCAGAACTATTCCCAGCACCTGGATGGCGGGTTTATGCAGGTGATACAGGCGCCGATATCATTTTATCCACAACTAGAGGGCTTGAAACAGAACTTCAATGATTCGGAGGATCGCGTAAAATGGCGTTCCAAGCAATGCGTGGACTACGCCTTCCTCTTTAGCTACTGCCGTGGTTTGTCGGAGTTTTACCTACAACTGGAAGACGATGTCGTTTCATCAGAACACTACCTGACAACAATAAGGGATTACATCAAAGCTCAAAAATCCGCCTGGTCGATGCTGGAATTTTCCGACCTCGGGTTTATAGGAAAACTTCTCAGGTCTTCCGACTTGCAAAGACTTGCGGACTTTCTTCTGCTGTTTTACGAAGAGATGCCGAACGACTTCTTGATTCGACACTTCCTGAAGTTGTTACCACATCGGCAGACGTTCGTACGACGGCCGTCGCTGTTCCAACACATCGGGAAACGCTCTTCACTGGTCGGGAAGGAGCAGAACTTAGTTGACGCCTTCTACGTGGACACGATGAAGAGACAGTACAACGATTCTGACAACCCACCAGCGGTGGTGAGCTCGGACATGGCCGCCTTCGGGGAGTTCAAGCCGCAGCTTGCCTACGGCCCCGAACCCGGCTTCTTCTGGATCGAGGCGCCGCAGAGCGGGCAAGCGTTCTTCGTTCTTTTCGAGAAACCTGCAAGACTTTCTAGGATTGTCATAGAGACCAGCTCTGAACAACACCCGAAGGATATCCTTGAGAAGGGCACAGTACAAGTCAGCCCGAAACTTCTGTCTATGAGCCAGCAGGATGACACTCCGAACTGTGCGGACTACGTCAAACTAGGATACTTCGAAAACGGAAGATTTGAGATGGCGACTCAGGGCATGGAAGGACTGGGGTCAGTTGAGGTGAAGTGTCTGAAGGTCACGGTCACCGAACAGCAGAAGATGTGGATACTGGTGAGGGAGATCGCCGTGTGGACTGTAAAGAAAGAAATCACCAAAGAAACCCCGGCCAAATAATTTCAGTGTGGTCGTGTGGCGTAGGGGCAGAGTGCGTGACTCGGAACTAAGAGTCCCGGGTTCGAGTCCTGACATGACACCGATCTTGTGCCCTTGGGAAAAGCACTTTACACGGCTTTCCTCACTTAGCTCAGGTGTAAATGAGTATTGTCCTGTAATGTATTTTTCCCCTGTGTTGGTGGCGACATTAATATAAGTTGAAGAAACTTGAGTGCATAGTCACCACGTCTGGTGATTACATGTTCCAATAAAAAAAATAATTTCATTGATAGCACATAAAACACGGATGTTGAGTCAATAATAATATTGAGTCATTACAAGTAAGGAGGTAAAATTTTAATCGACTTGTTATAAGGATGTTAAAAGTATGAGTTCCGTTCCATTCCGTACTTTTTCTTGTATCAAAGTTTTAAACCCCTTAATTAATATTTTTATCTGACTTTTCCTGAAAGGGGCATTATGTTACATTTCTGCACTAAAATTGAAATATAACATAATCTATTCATCCTGGACAAACTTTCACCAGAAGGCCCATTCAGATTGAATAAAATTCATAAATGCGTGCAATTATCTCATACTTAATATATCTATGATATTGATAACTGGTGCCAAATCAGCCTACACAAGGCACACTCAGTTTGTGGTACCACCAAAAATACCAGAATGTAAACAAACATGGCTGACAGCTGTGTTTCCAGGTTTTAAACACACTCGTAAGGATTTATATTTTGGCACCTCCACTTAATTCCCGAATGTCCCTTTTTTGCAACAGAGTATAGGGTTGATTTAACTGACTTTTAAAGTTGACTTTTTATATCGTCCTAATGTTACTTAATACAGCTTTAACAAAGCTTGAAAGGCATCTATGGCTTTAAGATAAAATACATGATGATCGACGATCCCTGTTTGCTTTAGGTCGGCATGTATTGTTGTTTTAACTAAGTGTTGTATATAGGAGAGAGCGACACGTGTTACCGAGTTTTGTACAGTATCTGTACACGTTTTTGTCATGAATTTATCAGTGTTTTTTTCCTGTTGATCTTATTTAGGGGTCAATAACCGATCTGTGTTTATAACCTCACATATCTTTCTGTGATTTAGATTTGTCGTTTTTCATGTTGCAAAATAAAAATTATGTTGAATGCAAATTGTGTTACTCTAAGTTTGATAAGGGTAAATGGTAGGTCAATGTCACCATCTAAGTTTAAGGCCATGTTGATTTGATTATGTGGATGACATCCGCGCGCGCATGAATTTTTGGCCGTTTCCAAAAGAAAAGTTTTCAACCACACTGTAAATCGTACACAACAGTTGCACAATGAGCCAATATATTCCGTAGTTAAAAAAAAATTGGAAAACGATACCAGTGTCGTAGAATGTCAAAATCAAACGAAAAAGACGAAAATGTAAAGAAATGAATTTGAAGATTATTCGCGAAACCATACTCTGTATCATTTTTCAACCTTCAAAACCACATAGATGAAAGCAATTTTTTGTTTTGGCCAAGCTTTATTCGCACGCTCGCATCAGTTTTGGGGTTCCCAGAGGATGTCATCCATATAATCAAATCAACATGGCCTAAACGTAAAAAAAATAAAATTAATAAAAGCTTGTTGGTAGACGAACAAGCCTCGTGCAGATAACTTAGTTTTAAACCTAACATTCAAAGATATCGAAAATGTTATATTCTTGCCTCGTTTATGTGGCTATGTATTTTCAATATTTGATACAAATATTGCTTGGTACTTTGACACCATCGTGCCACTATCAAACAGGTTCAAAGTCCTACTATATAGAGTATTGACCGTACTTGGCCTGGTCTTGCTGTAAAAAGAACGGAGAGGTACGCTGGTTGTTCAAGCATCGAATGAAGTCAAAATCTTGAGCCAAAAGATGCCTGACTTGAGAGGGAAGGTAGCTATTATTACAGGTAAGTAACCAGGAGCTCGCTGAACCCAGAAACAGTTCGGTAGTCCGTGTTCAAGGTCGACTGTTAGGACTGGGAAAGGGGGAGTTGCCGTAAACCAGACTTTTGCCATATCAGTGGGTGATGTTGTGATGGTGTACATTTCTTACACACGCCAACATACAGCATTCTACTTACTGTAACCTGTTAATCTCCGAAGGTAGGCAGGTAGGCAGTAGGCTTTCAGGCCTTTGCTTGGGTAAAGTGTAATCATTATGTTACCATGCTAAAATGGAGAGACAATTAAGCGTTGAAATAGTTGTTTGTTGAGTTATTTTAGGCCCATCCACTATTTTTGGAGGTAACACACACACAGAGAGACCATATCCGGTGGTCTATGATTTACAGTAATAGCAATACTGACTCGTGGGCTATAAAGAAAATCAACACCAGTCCTGCTCCAAAAATGTTGCTGACTTGGCATGATGGTTGATGACTTTGAATTTTGTCACACACTCATTAGGCCATGTTGATTTGATTATATGGATGACATCCGCGCGCGCATGAATTTTCGGCCGTTTCCAAAAAAAAAAAGTTTCCAACCACACTGTAAATTGTACATGTACAAAACAGTTGCAAAATGAGCAAATATATACCGAAAGTTGCAAAAAAAATATTTGAAAACGATTCCAACGTCGTAGAATGCTAAAATCAAACAAAAAACTAAAATGCAAAGAATTGAATTTAAAGAGTAGATTATTCGCCATACCATACTCTGTGTCATTTGTTCGACCTTCATAACAACGTAGATTTCATGAAAACAACTTTTTTTTTGCAAAACTTTTTTTTATTCGCGCGCTCGCATCAGTTTTGGGGTTCCCAGAGGATGTCATCCATATAATCAAATCAACATGGCCTTACTGGCCTCCCGAGCACTGGCCAAAGTCCCCCGACCGTAGTTAGGAGCAAAGGAGTTAGGTCGGAGCAAAGTCGACTTGGTCGTCTGAGCTTTGGTAAGGTCGGCTACTATATATTTGGCTGCGCCAGCCGAATGTTTCAAATGTTTAAACATACGGCGGTTGATCGGAAGTTAAGCCATGGTTGGCTGGTGTTTGAATGTAAGTCAGCAGAATATCAACCTTTCGGGAGTAAGTCGGCAGTTTTGGGACGTGCTTGGTTGCAAATTTGAAATTAGATTAGTTCGGATTCGTATAGAAAGGAAGGCGTGGTCCAAATCTGGCTACTAAGGCTGCTCCCAAAATTCAGTCGATCTTGGGCCTTGTTAATATGAAACCACCCGAACCGCTCTTCGGGTAACTCGCATTCCTCACGATCACATCTGGTCCACGTGCCATACATTCATTTCAAACCGTGTCCGATCACGATTCTCTGAAACCGCATTCATTGTTGTTTGATGAAAACACGCTAGGTAGTGTGGTATTAATGTCAGAGGTCAACGACCTGCTTGCTGATGCCCCCCTCCCAGCGTATCTCGGCCGAATGCCGACGTGGTCCCGCCAGAGGCGGTGAAGCTCGCCCTAGAACGGACACATTATTTGACCATTACTGCCACGTAAAATTTGGTATTGTAAATCAAGAAATATCACCCCGTAATCCATGACCAGGTGAAGTCACATTGAAATCACATTGCGTTCAGACCCAAATCGCGATGCGGGAAAACCGATTCGAAACCACCTCTATAGCTAGAAGTGGTTTGGGATCGAGGCGTTTTTAATGCGTTCAGATGGAGCCACTTGAAACCGGCTTCGGGGGAAACCACATGTAAAGCGCCTTCACTGACTTCATATGAACACGGCCTTGGTTGGCTAGTAACACTAGTGTTCTGGGGGAGATGTTGGGGAAAGGTCTTGACTGTGACAGGGGCTTTTTAAATTCAGAATTTTGGAAGACTGTAGACTCTGACTTCAACCTTTATAGCTAGTACAGGAAGCAATAGACATGCTCAAGAGTACAAGCGAACGGTAAGATGTTGTTTTTTTTTCTTTTTTTATACCAGGTGCGAGTTCTGGCATCGGGAAGGGGACAGCTGTGGAATTTGCTCAGCTGGGAGCGCACCTGGCTCTGACTGGGAGAAACCAGGAAAACCTGCAGGCCACGGCAAAGGCCTGTGTGGAGGCAGGGACTCCGCAGGACAAGGTGCTTGCTTGTTTGGTTGCTTGGTTGTTTGTTTGTTTCTTTATTTACATAAAACAAACTCCGGTAGTTTCTGAGTGAAGTACATTCTGCTTCACTCAGAAACTGAATAGATTCAACCTTAAAGGCATCCAATGCAATTTCAGGGCTGCAAATTAAAGCAAAGAATATTCTAGAAGAGGAAATCTGTCTGATATTGACATTTAATTTATTAAGTTAACTTTTCTTTTATTTATGACGCTTTAGACACTTGTGGAAGGATTGACATCTTTTTTATACGTGTGGTGGTCTTTATAAAGTGCTCAGGGTGTGGCTCTCATTACAAACGGGACCTCCGGCTTTACGTCCTATCCGAGAGAACGTCACTGGCAGAGGGTACATTACCTTATCGACATGATTTCATATTCCTAAATTCAGAGTTTTTTTGTTAATTTTATTTGTTTTGGTGAACATACATCATTTTTCTCAATCAGATTCTGCTGGTGACAGGAGACATCTGTGATGAACAAGTGCAGAAAAAGCTGGTGGAACAAACTATCCAGAAGTTTGGCAGGATAGATGTGCTGGTATGGAACTAGCTAATGATGTCTTTGAATATAGCTATACAACGCAATTAGCTGTTAACCAATGAATGGTATATTAAATAAAGCTCAACCAATGAGAGCATGGCGATTAGCAGTTCAACCAATGAGAGCAGGCAATGAGCAGCTCAAACCGATAAAAGAATAGCAATTAAGCAGTTCAG